CTCGCTCCGACCCCACACCGAGGGGCTCCTCGGTGTGGGGTCGGAGCGAGGAGGATGTGGGATGCAGAGCTGTTTGTGGAGTTTCGTGATGACGGAGCCGTGCAGCTACGCCGCTCCTCCACTTTTACTTCAGCTTCGTTTTCTCTTTGCATCACCGAAAAGAAGCCGAGAGGAAACGCAAGTAAAATATCTCACTTTGACGAGTCAGCACGGAGCATTTCCTCCATCACATGTGCTAATAGAGCGAGTGCTTCACTGACTGCAGGAGTTGTGACTGAACGAGCGGGACCAGGGTTCAGTCTGCACAGCAGCTTTTAAATGAACAAAGACGCCCAGACTGAGCTCTGCCTCACATCTGTGCGTTACAGGTTATTAGCCTATCACAGAGCTTCCACTGCTGTAACCTTTGATGTCACATCAGCTCTTTCACAGAGACGGCCAGCAGAACCGAAAAGACTCCAAAATAAAGACTAAGAACATCTATTACTTTCTTCTGCTCAAAGAAGAGCTTCCTGTGACGGGAGAGGTTCGTGCGGTCTGAAAGCACTTCCTGTCTCTGCTGCGGCATCGTACCTGTGTGGTTTCGTTGAAACCCGGCAGCCAGCCGATCTCCGACGGCCGTTCTTCGGCTCCGTTGGTGCAGCCGAGCGCCAGCAGCGCCCCCTTAGTGACCAGCAGCACGTCCCCGACGTGCAGGTCGATGTCCTCCTCCCTCTCCTTCTTGTAGTCGTAGAGCGCTCGGTACTGAAAGCCCTCCGAGCTCATCCTGACTCAAGTATGGCTTCACGAAAACTAACAAAACAGCTCTGAGTGAAAAAATATGAACATAGGTTTGAGTCCGTGTCCTGAGGGGGTCTAAAGAGGAGAATCCACGTGGACGCGCGTCCCCCCGGTCTCCATGTTGGTCCGCCACAGTCCTGTCATCCCTCCAGGCCGAGCCGCAGCCGCTCGATCAGCGCGTCCTCGCGGTTCATGAACAGCAGTCTCAGCAGAGGTAGCGGCCACATCTGTGGAGGCGACGGGTCACCTGAGAGACGAGAGGTCAAAGGTTACAGATGAGTGTGAGGAACGCGATGCGGCAGAAGA